TCATACTTTATTTCATTTGTGATATGAAGGCGTGTCATTTCGTTCTTTCGTGTGTGTTTGTGTGTGTGTGTGTGTGTGTGTGTTTTAGTGAAGAGTTTTCAGGTTCTCGTTACTAGATCAGACTCATAGGGATCCTTCTGTTCTCCTGTTTATGGCCTCCCTAGAGCTGGGATTACAGGCATGCACAACCACACACAGTCTCAGCGCACCTTGGGGGTGGGCCGGACAGGGCTGGCAGAGCAGGCTTGGGGATGGAATCCCCGACTCCTGGGCCTGCTTGCAGGCACTTTGATGTGTTGAGTTATTTGGCTGGCCTGAAGGCATGTAATTTCCTTCAGTTTTAATTTTGCTAATGTGTAGTATTATTTTGTAAAAGCAGAACTGCAAAATTAAGTAAGAAGGCAGTTCTAAATCAAATCCTACTTATAACACTGTAAGAGTTAAAAATACCATCAGGGTATGGGACAGATTTAAGAGATCAATTCTAGAAGCATGGGAGAGAAATACAGATCTACTTTTTGACTATGTGAATGGCCAGGTATTAATTATCTCATATTCAACATAAAAAGGTAGATTACAGTGATTTGAAGGAAAGGGTTTGACTTTTCTTTTTTTTTTCTTTTTTATGTGTTTAGTACAGGGTCTCACTACACAGATTGGACTTATAGTGATCCTCCTGTTTTCAGTCTCCTAAGTGCTGGGATTACAGGCATGCCCCACAAAGGCTATCTCAATCACCATCTAAGTGTGCCCCAGGGACAGGATCAAACCCGCCCCTGTGCCTGCCTAAGCAGGCACTTGATTCTGCTAAGCTATCTAGACAGAGCTTGTGTTTGACATCTGAAAAGCTATTTAAGTCTTTGCTTACTTAATATTTACTAAATATGATTGTTTTATAATCATTCAATGATAAATTCTATGTCATGTTTTGTCAAATAATTTGATGAAGATACTTACACTGAATCAACATTAATCAGATTCATCCGTGCTATTCAGATTCAGAACAGATTAAATGAGGAAGAAAGGAGCTAGGTCATTACCTTTACAGGGCAATTTAATAAATTATGCATCTATATGAAAGAATGCCACATTATACTCGTTAACTACCTATAATCACAAAAATTCAGTGTGATTTGAGTTCAGTATTTAAATAGATCATTGCTTGTTTAACTGGCATTAAGAAATATAGGGTGACATTTTTGCATTAATTATTATAAATTATGAAAAAATATGTAATTAAAAAGAACAATAATTAAATCAGGAAACTTTAACTCATTGTCAGCAATATGAACACGCTGTTATTATTTTTCCTCTGTCCTTGATTGAATATTTATTTTGTAATTTCTACAATGTCTTGTGACATTTAACTTTTCATAGAAGTATCTTACAATGCATAAGACAGTTATCCACAGCAAAGTTTGGTCTTGTTTAAAATGCTTAATGAATCTCTTAAATAAGGTATTATGCAACATTACAATACTGATGATACTTTTGTGACAATTCACTCACGGGTTCAGCTATTCAAACTACGTTCCAAGTGAATATTTTAATGTTATTAAACTAAAATTTTTGATTATAAAAGGCTTAAATTCATTTTAATAACTTTATTTTAAAAGCAAATTACTGAGATAAGCACAGCTGAGAAACAAAATGTCTTCCTGTGGGAATGTTTCATCTTTAAACCAACTTTATGTACTCAAATACTAATCTTGAAAATGTTAGTGAGAAAATTTGTTCTTCAGGTTTAAACTTTATACCTCATTTACCTCATGAGATTGAAAGTAGCAGCTCAGTTTCTCATCAAGCAGAGATAGAACTTTTGTTATTCATGTATATTTTAAAAATCCAATTTGTAAAGTGAATTAGTTGTCTTTGTCAAATAATTTACGTAACTGTCAATATTGTCTTTCTAGTAATATGTAATAAAACAAGAAGCCAAAATACCTACATTTTAAACTTAACTTTTTCGCATTGTACTTTAATGTTTTAGATTACATTTCTCATCTCAGAGTTCCATAAAAATAATGATAATATTAATATTTTTTGATAACAGTAACATTGTACGTATTTGCTGTGAACTGTGTATTATTCTATGCACTTTCATACTTTGAGTGCATGAAAAATTAGGCATTAGTTTTATTTTTAATTTAATATAATTTAATTTTTGAGCAAAGTTTGCAGTGTATTTGAGTCTGGCCCTGAGTTCACTACGTAGCCTCGGCTGGCCTTGACCTCATGGCAGTCCTTTTCTCTCACCTTTTCTGAATGCTTGGATTATAGCATGTCTAAAGAAAATGGACATTGATGAGAGTACTTAAACTAATTCCACTTTAGACAAGTGATCCTAGTTGTCTCAGTCACTCTTCTTTCACAGCTGGGACAAAATACTCAAACCCAAAATGAAGGAAGGAAAGGTTTACTTAGCTCACAGTTAGTGGGGGTTTCAGTTAATGCTCAGCTGGCTCCAAGGCAGAGCGGCACGAGTCACGGGGCAGCAGCTCATGGAGGCCGAGAACAGTCAAGAGCAAAACGGAAGAGAGCAAGGGCACCAGTGGCAACAGAGAGCATGTCTGTCCCCTCATGCTGCACTCAGGCCATCCGCTCCGGGCAGGTGCAGCATTCACAGCCATAATCCCAGAGGATTGTGAATTAATCACGAACTCTATAAGTGTGTACCATAACTGCACGAGAGTTTGGAGGAGCAACTAGACACACACCATAACACTAGTTTAACTATGTTTTTCATTTTTTTCTACGTTTCACACTATATAAATTATAAGTACCACTAAAATAGTTATTGTAAATAATGTTCACAAAATATCTGTAAGGACATCAACAGTGTGTAAGAGTGTACTGGACACTTTGTAGGACTGCCGTTATATACAGCTAACCTAGAAAACAGAGTCTATAAATACCATGCATTTTATATCAAATAAATGAGTTAAATAAGGAGTAAGAAGGGTTAAATGACCAATAAAATTGTTTATGAAATCAAATTTTTGTGTCAAATAAGATAATAACATTTGGATAATTGGAAATTTTGAAGTAATATGTATTATCAGAATTATTCTTCAGTATTATCAAGATAGTTTCAACAATTATGTCCCATGATACAAAATATACCTGTCATTCTCACTTTAGATTATCGGTGTCAATTCTTTGTTTCGTGATGGATTTCACTGTGTCATACTTTAATGTATAAGCATTTCTTCAGCCCCTGATTAAAGAACTTTTCTTTCATTTTCAGTGAATCTTAAGTAGATAATGTTTTAAGCTTGTCAGAGTCATTCAGTTAAGGTTTAAGTTTGCATTCATCAAAGTTTTCAAGAAGTTAAAAGACTGTTTTGAATCTCCACTGACACCACAGATGCTAATCAATACAGAAATTATACAGGAATAACTCTGGTAGCTGTGTTTTCGTAATCTTGGATTTACATTTTAACTTCCCTTTCTTCAATCTCTATACTCTTAACAGGATTCTGAAAAATTTATCCTTGTATAGGAAGTGATAAGGTAAAATATTATATGATGTGAGCTAAAACATATATATATATATATATATATATATATATATATATATATATTATGATGTTCTCTTCTTAACCTATTAAACACTTTCTAGTCATCAATAAATGTCAGGGATCAAGGCACTAAGTCATTAGTTGGAGGCCTACATTTGTGATAGGATTTGGACAGTCAGTTTGGCAGGTGGTACTTTTTCTGATGCTGCCAGGAGAAGTTGTTCTTTATTCATCCCTTTTTTTCCTATGACCAGCAAGTAATTTCCCAGCACATCCTGTCTTTCCATAAACCATCCCTGAGCCTACTTGCTTTCATCTATTTTCCTAATTTTCACTTACAGGAATCCGCCTGCCCTTCTATCCCCTGCTCATTTATCATTTCTTAATAGGGAGCATCTAGGAAGATTCATTCTGAAAAAAAGGGTTTAAATTAGTGGGATCTTTCAAACAATAAAGTTTCCACTATATATACATATACATATACGTATACGTATACGTATACGTGTGTGTGTGTGTGTGTGTGTGTGTGTGACCGGGGATTGAACTCAGTCCCTTGTGCTTGCCAGGGAAGTGCTTATTCCACTGAGCCATCTCCCCAGCCCAAGTTTCCATTATATTGATATGACATAGAAAACTATATTTTTATATAGAGGGAATTTTAAAACTATTAGTGAAGATTGCTTCTATGAGCTAAGCTTGGTCGGATGGCTGACTCATTCCATTAGGCCATACCAGGATGCAACATCAGTCTTAGTGGTTGCTCTTAATCTGGCAGTGTTTTCAGGGATGAACCTTTGTATTTTGTCCTGCTAATGCTTGGACAGCTAAACATCAGAACCACAGTTACTCACTCTGTCATCTTCTTGTATTCTGAACCGTCAGAATTTCCTATAATGGGAAAGGTGTATTTCATTCATGAAGGCTCATTAGAAATAAATACGATTCACTGAAGAAGCAAAACCTGATTTTTATCTTTTATTCTTTTATGTTTTTTAACAGGCAATCCATTATTAACCAGCAAAGTCAACATACTGATTAATGTCCTAGATGTCAATGAATTTCCCCCAGAAATAGCTGTGCCGTACGAGACTGTGGTGTGTGAAAACGCCAAACCGGGACAGGTACCTTGCCAAAATGGTCGATTAAAGTAGCTAAAGATTTCACATGTGTGTGTTAACTTGTTAATCTCAACAGGAATACACCCAACTATACTGCATTTATTTTTCTGGATCAAAGGTGCTTGAAGTAAACCACAGATATATTAAACTCAGTATTTACTGGCAGATGCATACATGTAAAGGGCAGGAAGTCTTGCTTGTGTAATCAGTGTTCTTTGGATCATTAGAGAGCTAGAATGGTTGATTCTGTGAGTTTTTCCTACTTTATTACTGTTCACTTGCGGAGCACTTGTGACTAAACTCGGGAAGCAGAACTGAAGGGAGGGTCTTGGTCCTTTTTTGTTTCTTAGTTTGCTCATCTACTTTCACAAAAACTACAACAAAGCTGTAGGGCTATTGAGGAGGGAGACCAAGTTTTTTTTTTTGTTTGTTTGTTTTTGTATGGCAAACATCAGGGCTAGTTTAAATATCTGATTGAAATGGTGTTCATTAAATCACTTTCTGTCTGTTTTAGTGTGGAGATGTTGTAAGAGACAGCCGAGTTGTTAATAGAAGTGATCGTCCAAGTCCTAGGTTTTCTGCAGTCCTGGGGTATAGCTATAGTCTACACTACTGTGGAAGGATGGATGAATACCATAATGAAAGTCTAACACACATTTGAGAAGAGCGTATCACAAAACAAGAATATGATTAATCTAATACTATGTGCTTCAGTTCTAATCGTAGAATGTGTTGACATGCTCTCGGTTGCTATGTATTTTGATCATCTTTAAGTAGCATTGTTACTTATTGGACTGACCTTGGAAAGTGTTAATTTTGAATAAATTTAAATATGAATTTAAATTATTCTTTGTTAAAAAGGGCATTCTAAAATCATTTTTCTTTTTTTTTCTTGTTGTGTGTTTAACTCTTCTTAGTTAAATAGTTATACATGTCATATCTATTATCTATACAGCTGCTAAATTAAGTTACAAGACTGAAAACCTGTCTTCTCCTGCACAGTGGCCACATTTATAGTGCCATAAATTATGTGTTATGTGGATCCCCACCACATAAAAGTTATAAAAGTAATAACAGTCTCTTATCTTTCAGGTAATTAGGGGTGTTAATAATTTCAGATAAATCAAAATCTCAAAATATTCTAAAGATTCCCTTTGTGAATAGAGCTCTTTTTATTCCCATTGATCTTCCTAATATTAAAGAATTTCAAGTGTTGGGAAATGTACAAGTTACTGGAGATGAACCTGATTTTGTTCCATGTGGAGACTCTAGTTTCAAAAGTATCTTTTAAGAGTTGTGTGTTCTACTAGGAAACATTTATGCATGAAATATCGTCCTGGCATTGCCCTTGGGTGGCTCCTTTTTAGCTTTGGTTTCATCGTGTCATGCATAGGAATTATCTATTTCTTAGATACGATTCTTGAATGTTCATGTATGTGTCTCTCAGAATGAGAAAATAGAAAGACAGATATGTAGATCTGAGAAGATTTGTATGGGAGATTTTTTCTTAAGAGAGAGACTCTCAAATTTAATACTCACAGATAAGTTTTATTCTCTATGCTTTGTGAAATTCTAAAAGGCTTTTCTTCAAAGTCTTTCATGAATTGTTATATTAAATACTGCTTACTAGTCACAGTAAGAGAATAAATCAAAATTGGACAACCATACATATATTGATTGTTAAAGAACATGCCGAAACTGTAGCAGTGGAATAGTGTGATCTGAGAAAAATGACCTAAGTGAAGAGAAGTTAATGTTTCACTGCATCTGTACAATGATTATTTTTTAAACTAAATTATCACATTTTGTGATGTGGTCTTTAACGTGGAAATGTGATGGGATGATTTTACAGGATAAATAAGTTCTGTGTAACTAATTCATAATAAGATGAGGAATTGAAATTTATAGTAGAGGTCCAATTAATTTTTAATTTTCAAGTCACTGATCTTGCACGGACACTCACCTTCCCAGTGGTACATTTCTATCACACTTACGTGCCATTGCTCGTGCTCTGTTCAAGGGAGGTGCAGGTCACAGTCACGATGCTTGACCATGAACACAGATCCAATCGAAAAGTAGTAGATGGATCAAGCTTAAGGGCATCAGTTCAGGATCATGTGATGTGCATTCCATGCCCGGGGCCAGGCAGCCATGCTTGAAATCTGTCCTCCTTCAGAAAGATCTAATGCATTCCAAGAACCTAATCCTCTGGAGGAGTACATATCATTTTCTCTTTCCTTACACACTGTGGGAAATGCTACGTGACACAGAGTTATTGAATATCACAACTTAAAAAAGTGTTTGAACTCAAGAGGATAAGCAAAGAAGACTGAGTTTCAGGCTAGCTTGGATGATGGACTGAGACCTTGTCTCAAAAAGTGAAAAAATAAAATGACATGAAGACATTCTAGTCTCCTTATCTTTATACTGAATTAAAAATTTTATAGTTTGTCTATAAGTTGATTTGTTTCCACAATTTGGGAGGTACCATCTTGAAGAACACAGACTTTAACTGCAAGCTACTCCGTGTATGGGAGAAAGTTAAGAAATTATTTGAAGTTAAAAAATAAAGAAACAAACTACTTTTGATTATTTCAAAATCCATAGAAGCAATTCTCTTCCCAATAAATAGGAAAATTAAAATGAAATCAAAATTACATATTTCTGTGATTTTTTTCTCATCACTTTATTTATGAACATAAAACTCACTGCCACAAACACAACTGTTGTAAAATTTGCTATGCAAGGACTTTTAGATGATCAGATATTGTGTTTCTAGTAAGCATTTTCATTTTCAGAGTAGAAAGCATTTATTTCATCTGATTTTAAGTGCAAGCAAGTACCTTTTAATTTTGTTTTGCTTATTAGTGAGAATTTTCAATGCTGGTAAGCTTTTTGGTTGTATAAATATTGATTTAAAATTAGTCCATGTCCTATAATTGTACTTGGAGTTGCTACCAGTAAATGTTTAAAGGATTGTTTCTAAAAATTAAGTGTAAGTAATTGGCCCACTGATATTGATTGAAAAGGTCTATTTCTGTCTTCTTGCATGCTTTGTTAAATAAATTTATTAGCCTGTTGTGTAAGTTCTCTTTGAAACCTATGACTGACTACAAGTATAATCTCACCACTGTTTCAGATAATTCAGACAGTCAGTGCTGCGGACCGAGATCTTTCACCTGCTGGGCAGCAATTCTCTTTTAGATTATCACCTGAGGCTGCCATCAAACCAAATTTCACAGTCCGTGATTTCAGAAGTAAGTATAACCACCTAAAGATTAATCTCTTATCGGGTAGCTTTGTCCAACAGTACAAGCAACAGGAATGAGTGTTTTTCCTAAAAGCACTCCATGTCATAAAGCATGGAAAACCCTACAGGAGAAATTAAAAAATGTTAGGTAGTATTGAAAATGAGTAGTCCATGTAGGCTGTCTCTAACATAGTAGCAAAATTTGATTATAAATGTAGACAGTCTTTTAATGGGTCAAGAAAATAAGTTATCTGGAAAATGGAGTGTTTTCCCTGTTTTATGTATATTATTTTCCTACATGCAAGTTACTTGCAAACAGAAGTAGGTAAAAGTACAGAAATGGTTTTATTTGAATAGCACATGGTACATGAAAGTTAGAACTGTGGGCACTGCAGTGAGCAGGACGAGGTCTGTGGGCCTGCTCCATACCTCCTGATGGCACACGCTTAGCATGTACACTTATATCTCATAATGTCAGCTTCATAGTATCTGTGTGAAAATTACATATTAACGAGCTTTAACACAATGTCTAAAATATGAAGCAGTTATGGCAATTTTACCTAACACTTCCATAGCTATGCTTACCTGTACATTTTTGTTACTGATACTACCATGATTTTCACCAATATTCCTAAGGCACTATTAAATTTGTTCTGATGAAAACCACTAGCAATTATGAAAATACTACCTTAGAAATACAGACGCTTCCTACTCTGGGAATAAGTGTTATCTCTAAACCTCATCAAAAATTTGAAAATATCTTAAATTGAAAACCTATTTACTATAAGCAACCTACTAAATATCACCATCTACTCTATCTTAACTCTGCTCAGAGCATGTACATTAACCTAAAGATGAGCAAAATCTTAATACAATTCCTAATTTTTAATAAAATATAGAATACTCATGTAATCTCTTAAATACTCCGCTAAAAGTGAAAGAGTGGTAGTGTAGGTGAACATCCACATCATCATGAGTTTGAAATCATAACCAGAGCCATTGCAATGTCAGGCACTGTCTGTATGAAAGTGTGTACGTGGTCTGTTAGGTACCCCTGAGTTCCCCTGAGTGCATTAGTTCTGTGACTATGAATATTGCATATACTCCAAACTTCTATCTTCTATAAAACAAGAATTACAATGACTGATTTTACAATATTGGGTAGTGAGAAGCTAAAGTTTCAATAAATTCTAAGTTTACTAAGTAAACACAGTGCTTTGTGGCTTATATTTTCTTGATTATTCTGATGTAGAGTGGCAAGTAAAGATGGGCCTGTGGATCCATCTGAATGATGTGGCTGTCTATCTATCTGGCTGCCTAATAAATTTCATTTATCAGTTCTCAATAAATAACACATGGAAGATAAACATTAAAAAATAGGATTAGGTCGTCTTTTGAAAAAGGTAAAAACAGCCAAAAATAAAAAAAAAAAACTCCCTACTTTTTTTCTAAACACAGGCAATAGAAGTTCTATTCATCATTCACACTCAGGTTACAAATTTAATTTCTCTTCCTTTCCTTCAGTGTCAAAGGTTTAGCAATCAAGTGGTGAAGGCAGCATCATCCCTTCCGCTGGCCCCCATTCGTTCATCTCCTGTCATCATAAACTTACTCTCAGCGCATCTAATAGAGAATATTGTGGTCGTGTGTATCTTCGTTTGAAAGCATCCTGTGTGCAGTAATGGCACACGAGCTGGTTGCGCGTTGTTTTCCCAAGAGGGTATTTTCCATTGATCTAAATGTAGACAAGGCACTGAAATTCAGGTTGTACAATGTGTAGTCTACAAATAGAGTAGTAGAACAAGAATGAAATGCTAATCTATGTTTTCCTAAGTAACCTATTTTTCTAATTTTTGAAATTATTCTTAATTGGCAGTCATGTATGGTTCTACATGCTATATATTTTAAAATAAATTATTTCTAGGAACTACTTTAATTGGCTCAAGAATAAAATCACATTAAGAATAAAACAAAGAACCAGTTACTTTTAATAGAATTATTTATTGAATCCATATAAATGTAGAATATTAATTATCTTACATTATAAAATTTTCACATAATTTTTATTGAGTAAATTAAAGTTACATTTAAATTGGTCATTGCATTAGTGTCATTACATTAATATAGTTGATTTTATAACATAGTGTTTATAAATTTTAATGAAAGTTTATGTTTTTAACATAGTATGTTATTCTTTCCATGTTCCTTAGTTTGCTGATGTACAAAAGTGAAAAAACACATAAGTCGACATACATATATATTTATATTATATATATATTATATGTATATTTTCAAGCCAATATATTTTCATATGCAATCTTTCTTTACTATTCATGAGGGATTAATATCAAATTCCCTACCACCCACGGATACCCAAATCTACAGATTCCCAAGTCCTCATATAAAAAGTTATAATTGCATGTAATTTATTCAGAATCTGCTGTACACTTTATATTATCTTTAATTATTTTAGTATTATATGCAATGCAAATGTTAATTAAGTAAGTGTTATACTTTACTATCTAGGGAATAATGACAAAAATATGCCTATATTTTATGCACAAATTTTCTCTACAAATATTTTCTGAATGCATCTTTTCTTTACACATACAGTATTCTGTTGTGGAAATTGTGGATATAGAAAAATATATATCCACATATTGAATATATATATTGAATGGTATCTATTATATATTTACATTTAATTATGTTATTATTGTAATTAATTATAATGAATTGTATGTAGACTATGGATTGGAAAAACGTTTAACATGAAATAGTCAAATGACTTTTAATATATTTTAAAGAACATATTTTATGTAAAATATTCTACGTATTGATATTTTGCTATTCTGCTTGACAACAGTCAAAAAGTATTTTTTTTCTCAATGGAATTTTGTCAGCAGAAAAATATAAGACAATGTAATATTTTCTTGTCTTTAAAATCGTCATATGTTCTTTCTGAGAAGAAAGTTTAATTCTTACACCAGACAAGATTAATGATTCTTCTTTTCCCAAGGTATATTTCAATTACATTTATTACATTTTGGTGTCTTTCACAGCTAAGAGAAATTATTAAAGATAATTCATTTTACTAACTCAAGAACTTCCTACTGCTTAGCAGATGCCAAGTTGAAGACTGGAAGTGATGCTCCTATTAAACGTATCTTCATAAATGTCATGTTTTGTAGACAACACAGCTGGAATTGAAGCCCGAAGAAATGGATACAGCCGCAGGCAGCAAGAGCTGTATTTTCTGCCTGTGGTCATAGAAGACAGCAGCTACCCGGTCCAGAGCAGCACAAACACAGTGACCATCAGAGTCTGTAGATGCGACTCTGACGGTAGCATTCTGTCGTGTAATGTGGAAGCAATTTTTCTACCTGTAGGACTTAGCACAGGAGCTTTGATCGCAATCCTTCTGTGCATTGTCATACTTTTAGGTTGGTTTAACTGTTAATCTCTCTATTACTCTGTCTGTCTGTCTCTCTGTTTCTCTCTCTATCTCTGTCTGTTTGTCTGTCTCTCTGTTTCTCTCTCTATATCTCTCTGTTTGACTCACTCCATCCATCTCTCTCTCTTTCTCTTTCTCTTCCTCTCTCTCTCTCTCCTCTCCTCTCCTTTGCACTCTTCTCCCGCTATTTCTCTCCTATCTCTCTGTTGGTTTCCTCAATTTGCCATGTAAAGAGGCATTCTTCTTGGATTTATCTAAACACAAGATTATGTGGATCTATTGAATTAAACTTTATGAAATTAAATTTTAGGAAGTTAGTTTCCTATTTTATAACTCATGAATGACATTATTAAACACACAATATGTTCAAGTAAACCCTAAGGAAATTTCAAAATTTTGGCTTTTGATAAAATGAAATTCTTCTCTTCAATGTTCATTTAAATCTGGTGCACTGTTTATTTTACATTTCAGTAATCACTAGTCTATTTATTGATTGTCTATTGCATGGTTATATCATCTTTTAAAGACATATACTTGGACAATTGTTCAAAAATTCAGTCCCGTATATAAAGAAGAAACAGGAAAGAAATACAGTGTATTTCATTTTTTTTTCATTTAAACTGCCACCAAGAAGGAATTCTACTCTTCCCACATCTCACATGAAAATCCTACTATTCTATACAAACAGAACAGAGCAGATTGAAGTATCTACAAGCACTGCAAACAAAAGGGATAGAAGTCAGTGTGCTCTGCAGCGTCCCTGTGTGTGAACATAAAGCACCCTCAGGAGTTTCCTCTTCCACCAACTCTCTCTGCTTCTCCGTTGTTCACTATGTCCCTGCCCTGTTCACACAGTGTATTATGTCCATGTTCCTTTTAAAGTCAAGTTACAGCAGATAGGCAAACAAGTGTTATGGTGGCTTTTATACATGCACACTGACACTTCAACCAAGACTATTCTGAGGCCTATCATCATCCAACATTATCTCTAGGCAGATAACAAAATCTTAGAAGCAAACACTAGAGAGGAAGGCATGGAGCACCGTAGTCTTGGAGAACACTCAGAGCCAAGTGCACGAACTGACTTGAACACTAAAATCTTAATCCACCTTTGGTAATGTAGCTATTAATGCCACAATAGATAAAAGATATTTATCTTTGGAGTATATAATAAACTATTTCTGATATCTTTATATTTATAACACATTATCCTTAGCATCTGGGTTTTTTTTTTTTGCCCTATACTTTAAACCTCAAAAAGACACAGTGAAAAGAACATTTGCACTCAGAAGTTGTACTTGATTTGAGTGTTTAACTTCAAATCAATGTCCTACAGCCACTCTCTTCTCTTCCCTGGGAAGTAAGGCAGCCCTAGACAGCTCCATCCAAACCTACAGAACGGGCCAGACCTGGGTCCTGTTCTTCACCTTGTGGGCCCCTCGTATGCTGCGTCAGCAGTCTTGCAGTGCATCATTTTCGAGCACTGACCCCTGTAGTCTGCCCATTCACCTCAGGAATCCAAGTGACCAGGGTGTACCCAGACCAATGCAGATATTTAGAATTCCTTGAGCATGGTACTATATTTTTTTCAGTTTTTATCTTGCTAAGGACTCCACTGTGAAATTTGTCTGTACTTTTACTTTCTTTTCTTAAAATATATTTCCTGTTATTTATTTATAGAATTTAGGACAGGTTGTACGGGTCATTCAGGGTCTAACTATATAGATCAGACTTGTAGTGATCCTAGTGTTTTCAGCCTCCCAAGTGCTGGGATTACCAGCATATGACACCACACATAGTCTCAATCATAGTCTCAGTGCATCGCGGGGGCAGGGCTGGCACAGCAGGCCCTGGGATTGGCCCCCCTGGCTCCTGTGTCTGACTAAGCAGGACTTCAATCCACTGAGCTACCTGGCTGGCCCTCCTTCACTTTCTTTACCAATCACAGCACCCCTTATACTTCCCATTTACATCACCTTCCTGCAGTGAATGGCAGCATGGGAACTATGTTCTCTTATGCTTTCTTTCATGTGGCTTCATGCACGCCAAAAAAGGCAACTCTCAGTCCATTTTGTATGCAGAACTCTGCCGTGAGCCTGGGCATCTCTTACACACGGTGGATAATCAAAAGCAGTCTCTTCAGTTCTGGGATTCCCTATGCCTTGTGAAAAGGACAGAGTGCTAGGAATTTCTCCAAAACTCTTTGCACAACAATGTTGTTTAGCCTCTTCCAGCCTTGCAAGGGTCCCAACAGTAACTTTAGGGGAACAAAAGGGAATGTGAGGCCTTTTGCTCTCATAACTTCTCTCCGTTATCGTTCCAGATTCTGCTGGGACAAAAGAAACCGTGCTTTTATCCTGGAGTCATCACTGTGCAAGGAAAATGCCAGGGAGCACAGCTGAGCAGAGTTCACTGCTAGAATCTGGGTCCATGAAGAAACTAACACCCAAAGTATAAATAAATTAAAGAGCGAAGTGAAAGATAGACAATAAAGAACAGAGAAGTAGGGCTGGCAAGGCAGTTCAGCAGTGCAGCTCCTGCCTGGCAAGCCTGAGATCCCTGGTACCAAAAGAATACATAGGAACAGAGAGGTAGGAGTTGTGCAATGGGAAGGAGACTAGGAGAAGGAGAGACAGAGACAGGACAGAATAAGAAGTAAGGCATGACATTTACACAGGCCAGCTCCCCACAAGGATGTAACCATTATGTACTGCAAATGTGCACTAATAAAATTAAAAACAGAAAAATAAGACATAAATTTAATAAATCAATTTAATGGAGAGCACTGAGTCAACTAGGAAAAATATAAATTAAAGCAATAAAGTTTATCAATTATTTCAAAATACTATCTTGCTCTATAAAACTAATCAAAAGTTTTAATGGTGTCTACACAGCATTGCTACACCCAGAGACCTTCTCCACGGGAATTGGTAGACTATGGCTCTTTATCCTTCCTTCCTTCCTTCCTTCCTTCCTTCCTTCCTTCCTTCCTTCCTTCCTTCCTTCCTCTTTCCTTCCCTTTCTTCTTTTTTTTCTTCCTCAGTCTTTCTAATATATTCCTTTTGAACCTCATTGTCTCAAAGAACATTTGTGTTATTTCATTAAAAATAAAATTTTCAATATCCAGTTGAGAAATAATACAATTGGAAAATTAGCTATTGACAACATTTCCATTGTACTTACAATATGCATTATCCAAGTTTATTATATCAATTTTTATACTTATGCATGGTTAGAGGAGTCATTCTTTTCTCCTTTTATCATTTTTGAAAGCATTATTTTTCATGGAAAGTGTGTTGAAATGTAAGGATAAACTAGATTGCGTAAATAACTTTACTGGGTTTCTTTTCATAGCTCCAAAATGAAACTACCTTTAGACAATGAAAAAAATCAGCATAAGCATGATCTTGTCTATTATATTATGCTTGCTTTGAAAATAGCAGTAGGCCATTAAAGCAATTCAGCAAGCGCTGATGACTGCTCACCTATTGTGGCATAGAGCGATCTCTGTACTCTGTGCTCAAATTTCTGTTTTATCTTGTTTTAGCCATAGTTGTGCTGTATGTAGCTCTACGAAGGCAGAAGAAGAAAGACACTCTGATGACTTCTAAGGAAGACATCAGAGACAATGTCATCCACTACGATGATGAAGGTGGCGGGGAAGAAGACACCCAGGCCTTTGACATTGGGGCTCTGCGCAATCCAAAAGCGATTGAAGAGAACAAAATTCGCAGGGATATTAAACCTGACTCTCTGTGTTTGCCACGTCAGAGACCACCCGTGGAAGATAACACAGACATAAGGGATTTCATTAATCAAAGGCTACAGGAAAATGATGTGGACCCAACCGCTCCACCTTATGACTCTTTGGCCACGTACGCCTATGAAGGAAATGGGTCCGTAGCAGAATCACTCAGCTCCATAGACTCGCTTACCACAGATGCCGACCAGGACTTCGACTATCTGGCTGACTGGGGACCCCGCTTTAAAGTCTTGGCAGACATGTTTGGAGAAGAAGAAAGCTATAACCCTGATAAAGTCACTTAGGTTGGAGGTGGAGGTTAACAGAACTGAGAGCTGACATTTTTAACAGCAACAAAAATTCAAATAGAACTCAGACACCTGTACACACATACACATACAGGCTTTGTAGGGCAAGATTCCTTTGGTTATCCAGTTTTTAGCAAGTTGCTATAGTTACATTGTCAGTTCATCAATTTTGGTTTATTCCACCAACACAAGATAAATCTTATAATATATAGTTGCTTTGTTTTGTTTTGTTATTTCAAAACACACTGAGACAAGCTCAGGCCTATTATGTACAATTTATTGACATGCCAACCTAGAATGAAGATAGCTCTGTGGCATCACAGTGGAAGAGTGTTAGATTTTTCTTAATTCCACTAAAGTGCCTATTGAAACTCTTATCATTTAAAGTGGTGGACAATACGCTCTGCTGTGATGGCGCTGCAGGATTCAGAGATAAAGAGGAACGAAGCAAAGACATCGTCTCTGTCCAGGAGCAGGAGCAATAGCAACATGCCGACTTCTCTCATTCCTTTTGAGAAATACAGAAGAGCACTTCCTGAACTCTCTTTGTACAATTAAAAGGCTTTTCCCTTTTAAACTGTATGCTAAGACATATTTGTTTTTCTTACATTTCAGAAAACTGAAATAAATGTCATAATATCAAATTCAGTATGTAAGTAATGAATCCTAAAGCAATGATTGGTCTTAACATTAGTTCATGTTAAAGATGTGAATTAATTGAAATATTAACTTTTTTTCCAAAAACTAAATGTTTAGGAACATAAATAAAAAGTCCCTCTTTATAAAGAGAGGCCTCAGGGCTCAAATTCCACATTAAAATAAATAATGGCTTTGTTTAATATTGTACTGATGTGTGAAAATTGGTTTTAAAATCACCAAATCATTTTTGTTTTCATAAAAAAATTCAGCTTGTGTTTATATCAACAAATGTTAAGGAAAAAATATCTTTTTATTTCCATATGGGGAAAAAGTTGATTCCATAGCTTCCTGGAGTTTCTTACAACCTAGGGATTCTTTGATGAGCAGTATAAATAAAATACACTTCAAGTGGCATGGGCTAGATGTATAACATGCCCACAAATCTGTGTCGCTTATTTCTTACAAATGAAAAATCAAGGCCTTCAGAAACTTAGAACCAATGAGTAAAGCCTAAAAGGCACACAAATGCAGAGTCAGGCAGCTGACCCACTTACTTTAGTAAAACATATTTCATTTTGTAAACACACAGTTCTTAAATCTGAGCTCAGCATTACTTCTTTCCTGTTTCATCTGCAAGAATTCTCCTACATATAATCCCTTAGAGTTCACGGGCAAATAAACTTTTCAATTTGATGTAAGCTTCTGAGAAATATTAGATTTTAGGTGTATGTTAGTAATTCATATTCACTTTACTTTCAAGTAGATTGTACACTAAGTTTGAACATAACACAACAGAGACGAACCAATCATAAAGAAATTCATTCCCTCAGTATAATGGCTATACAAGTTATTACAGAAGTGCTGATTCTATAAGAAAAGACCAAATTTTCTTATAGATCTTTGTAAAGGATATGGCCAATCTCTTACTGTACTTTTAAAATAGCTAAGAAAATATTTAATATGTAAGTTTGTGAAGGTAAAAATTTACATGTGAGAAATATTGTTGAAATATGTATCACATAGGCAATGTCTATTCAGTATTATTCTTTCATAAATGTTTACTTTCTGATTATCACACTGGTGTGGATGTGATAGCAATATGTCCATGGGAAGCTGCATTGCTCTTTGTGTGTGTATGCGTGTGTGTGTGTGTGTGTGTGTGTGTGTGTGTGTGTTACACATCTGCACACTCTCCTGTCCTTCCTATCAGGAATGACTATTGAACTTATTTTTCTTCATTCCATTCCCTGGAGTTACTTGTTATTTCATCTATGGAAACTGCATTATGATATGCAGCAAGTTATCATAAACATGTCTATGATCATAATCATAGACATGTTTTCAGTCTAACATGTCTTATAAAGTACTTATATAAAAAATTTTAAAAGCACATATCAAGGAGAAAGCCAAAGGCACTCTGTTTTTCCCCAAGCACCGTGGTTCTCTCTGGAAGGAAGAATGACCTCCCAAAGAAGGCTGATATGTGAGTCGCTTCCTACAAACAACGTGAATCTGGTCACTTCAGGCTGCATTTTGTTAGGGAGTGTTTCTCCCTTTACCCTCAATCAGTCAACAGATCCTACAGTGACATGAAGAGAAGTCAGGGGTGGTTTTAAACTGCATGCCCATGATGCTAAGCAAAAATTTGTGACCAGAAGGTCTTCCTTTCAACATAACAAAAATTATTTCTTCAGTAGCTTCATCTTTATTTTTTCACCCATACCATATATTTCTCCAAGAGCTGCCATAACTATCACAGATGGAAGGCCCTGATAAGTATCGTTGTTGACTTACAGATTTTCCTGTGTAATGTTCCACATGGTCTTCCTCCTGTGCTTGTGGTATTATTCTCCTTCCTGTAAGGACAGCAGTCATATTAGATGAGGTCCTATGGATGTGTTTTCTTTGAACTTACCTCTGTAAATTCCCTGGCTCCAAGCACAGTCACATTCTGAGGAATTCAGCATATGAATTCATTCCCTAGCAGCAGCATAGGCATTAGGAGTAATCGCCTGCACAAAAAGCAATTTATTTGCAAAAGGACAAAAGGAAACAAATGTGTTGACAAAAACTACTTGGAAATACTTTAGGTACAATGAGAATCTGCAAAGTTTATATTGGTAAGAAAATATTTTTGTTGTTCATGCATTGGAAATATGGGATATCTTTTATGCTAAGTAAATCACTAGACTTACTGTCTCAGTATTTGTAACATTTGGGATATATTTTTAGTTACAATAGAATCATTGTCCTTTATTCAAATATTAGCAATATAAAGATTGTTCAGAAATGATTTAGGTAATTTTGAATACTAGCATCCATTAAATCATAAATTTCTCATTGGCTCACATCTTTATATTTGTAGAAGTACATTTGTATATATTATGAGTATCATATAGGTTAATTATATATTTCAAAAACATAACCTTTATGTCAAAGAAACATCAGATCAAAATATATGAATCAAACAGTATGATTAATTTACTAGAAATAACCTAAAATTGCTTTTTTACCAAATTATATTTTTCACTAAAAATATCCTATGGGGCAAATGTTGTAAAGCCCAAGTGTCTCATTCACATTTGTGAAATTAACTTGTCACACTTACTATTGTGTCAGATTCCTCTGAAATTTCTTGACTGTTAAATTTTAGTTAAATGGCTAGATTCATGTTTTAATATAAAGAAGAAATTAAAGGATAGGAAGAAAAAATTTAAAGGATATAATATTCTCTATAGAAATTCCTGAAAAAATTTTAGTAACTATTAATTTTTGCAGTTGTATCAATGACTATTGTATTTCCAAATGGAAATTTAAGGTTGGCCCAAGCTTAGAAGTTAATTTGTATAAGGATATCTATTCAATTCTTAGCCTCATTAATTGGAGAAAAAAAAAGGGATTCCTAAAAGCACATATGAATATACAAGCATTATATCTGAAATTGTCTTATAAAGAAAGATACATTCAAAGACTTTATATTTAAGTGGATGCCACTTGAAGATATACTCATAAGTGAAATAAACAAGACCCACATGTATAAATATCAGATAGTCTCCCTAGTATAAGAATTCAAAAGAAGAATAGAAAGGTATAACACAATTAAAAGGAAAGCAGGAACTTAAGGATTAAACAATGAAGAGAGGGCAAAGAGAAAAGCTAGGAAACATGACGGGGGCAAAACCATATAATTATATGCTCAAGACGGTTAAGGTAATGATGCTGAGAATCTTCAGCAGGTTTTGAAACTAGCAGTTAATTGGTAGTATTCTCACCCTGACTAACTATGTATGCTGATACCTGTGAACTAAGCAACTGCACTGAAGATAGCAATGTGTAATGCTAGGGTCATGCTTGGAATGCCTGTCATTCTTGTCTTCTAAATACATACAGCTCATCATGTCATACCAATTACTGCTATACTATCTTTCAAGTAAATGTTTTTTTTTTTAAAGGTAATAAATGAAAACAAGAGACAAGAAAAATTGTAATAAGACTGTCCTGCTACAACACTGTTTATGGTTAGATTTCTAAATTCCTGTGTAAAAATATGTACTTGTTTATTCCTCATTTTATGACCAAAGCATACAAGAAGACTTTATAAAATTCCTTAAATAGTTTCACTTTCCTTCTAAAATAAACTCGACAGGGAGAGGTAATTTTATAAACTGTTCTTTACTTGAAAACATCTCTTTTGCTTCCTCACCCCATTTGTAGTTCATCTATGTACTTAATTCTTATTTGGAATTAAATTTTTCCCAGTATTGTGAAAATGTATTTCTATGACACTGGAGCTTCCAGCACAGTTGGTAAGACAAATGGTAACTGTGCCACTCCTTCCTCTATGGGTGGTGCGGACACTGTGGGCTGACAGCGCAAACTTCCCTAGACCCAGTTTTAGTTGAGTTTCACACCAATGAACTAAGATGAGTCTTTTGTCCTTTCCAGGCTTGTCAAATTCCCTTCGATATGCAGCCTCAGACCCTTCAGTTCTGGGATGGGAGAGTCCCTTTCATTCCGTCCTTGGTGGTTACCCCGTGTGCTTTGTTGAAGTTGAATTTGTGGTTTCTGAATTGTGTGGCAGTCTTTACCTCTTTGTCTTGCACTTTACTGATATTCTTGGTAAAGATTTTCGTTTTGTAGTGTTGCTCTCTGGCCTCCCTCATCCAGTAATTCTTCTCTTGTTTTCAGATGAGCTTGTACTTCCCTGTGATGATTGCGGCTGTAGAAGCAGTGGAATGCTGGCTTTTCTCTCTGATGCTTGCTTCACAAGAGTACAGGGAAAGGAAAACATAGGCATTTGGTTTAATTTATTTCGTTTCAAAGTCATCTCCCTTTTCACTGAATTTGCTGAAGTCCCC